AGTACTGTGGGAGTTTGCAGAACTTGGATCTCTCGACGAACAACCTGTCCGGTACGATACCGGCGGGTTTATGTTCCTGGATGCCTAATTTACTTACACTCGACCTGTCCAAGAATGATCTGTCGGGTGAGATCCCTCCCGATCTGGCAAACTGTGCTTTCTTGAATGAGTTGATTTTGTCAAATAATCGTCTATCCGGTACGATTCCGTACCAACTGTCCAGTTTGGGAAGGTTGAAGACGTTTTCGGTGGCCGATAACAAGCTGAGAGGGGCTGTTCCTCCGCCGTTTTTTAATAGGTATGATAAGGCGGGTTTTGAAGGGAACGATGGGCTCTGCGGCGGCCCGCTTGGGAAGTGCAGTGCCGGTGTGTTGAGCAAAAAGAATCTGGCGATTATAATCTCGGCTGGAATGTTTGGTGCGGCAGCGTCGTTGTTGTTGTCTTTTGGGGTTTTGTGGTTTTACCATCCGCGGCGGATGAAGCGGCCGCGGGGCGGGAATACGATTGGAAGAGGAGATGATAGCAGGTGGGTAGAGAGGTTGAGGGCTCACAAGCTCACCCAAGTTTCCTTTTTTCAGAAACCGCTTGTCAAAGTAAAATTGGCGGATTTAATGGCGGCGACCAACAATTTCCATGCAGAGAACATCTTAATCTCGACGAGAACAGGGACCACCTACAACGCTGTGCTTCCTGATGGGTTGGCGCTGGCGGTTAAGAGGCTGAATAGTTGCATGCTCGGCGAGAAGCGGTTCCGGTTGGAGATGAATCGATTGGGGCAGCTCCGGCACCCCAATTTGGCACCTCTTTTAGGGTTTTGTCTTGTGGAGGATGAAAAACTCCTAGTTTATAAGAACATGTGTAATGGGACTCTGTATTCCGTTCTACATAGAAGCGGTGAGATATTGGATTGGCCAACTAGGTTTTCCATTGGTCTTGGTGCAGCCAGGGGTGTAGCTTGGCTGCACCATGGCACCCAGCCGCCTCTCATCCACCAGAACATCTGCTCCAATCTGATTCTCCTGGATGAAAATTTTGATGCTAGGATAATGGATGTTGGATTGGCCAGACTCGTGACTTCCTCAGATGAGAGTAGTTATGTGAATGGAGAATTGGGTGAATCTGGGTCCATAGATCCAGAGTACTCAAGCACTATGGTTCCATCACTCAAAGAAGATGGATATGGATTAGGAGTGGTGCTTTTGGAGTTGGTAACAGGGCAAAAGCCTCTAGAAGTTGAAACTTCTGAAGAAGGATTCAAGGGTAATTTAGTGGATTGGGTGAATCATCTTTCTGGTTCTGGTAGAATCAAGGATGCAATTGACAAGGCCATTTCCGGGAAGGGGCACGATGAGGATATTTTGCTATTCCTCAAAATTGCAATGAATTGTGTTGTTACCCAGCCAGAGGACAGAT